ATATATATATATATATATATATATATACACACACACACACACACACATACATATATATATATATATATTCACTTTAGACTTCTTCACATTTCTTTTGATACTTTATTTTGCTCACTGAAGCAGTTGGTTTCCTACTATAAATCATCAAAAACACATTAAACTTACCTTCCATATTGTCATTACTGTTACTTTTGTCACGCATCATAGCCTTGTTTTAGCCAACAATATTTTGAGATAACTTTATATTTAATAACTATATTTTGTTTTCAACAAGTTTTTACTTGTGTGTGTGTTGTTTGAATACATTAAACTTAACTTATATTCAATAAAAAAAAGGTTTTGTGTCATCTAAATGGTTTGGCATCACTTATGATAATTGTTAAACCTAACAAAATTTCCCAGATGTCTTGTCACAGGTGATTCCTGTAACTTTCAAACAGAGATAATTTAACACAAAAACACTGTTAAGAGAAAAACTAGTATCATAAAGAACCTATAAAAAAAATTCTAAGTTCTGTGGATTGTTTCAGTGTTCAAAATTTTGAATCTAGATCCTTTTTTTTCAACCTACAGAAATTATGGCTGGTTGAAATGTTGCAAATTACTGCTCAAACCACTTTGTTTACAGTGAACAGATGAAGATAGATTGGAACTTCTCAAACAAATAATTTTTTACCTTGAGCTCTAGCTGTTTTCAAAGCAGAGCTTCACTGGAAGAGATTAGCACACTTACTAATACATGACAAAGGAGGTACTTGTAGTAACAAAGTCCCTAACAAAGAAGAAAAATGACTTGAAAAATAAAGTATGAATTATTATTATAGCTGGCCAATTAACTTAATTACTTAGGAGCATCAATTGATGTCACATAAAATCATCAACTGATGGGTATTACAATTAAATCGATTAATATAATACTATAATCAACTAACAGAAATTAGAGTTTCCAATTATTTCAAGTATCCAATTACTCGAAATATTGCCATAATGATTTCTCATTTTTATTTCAAAATTGTTCAGCTTAATCGATTAGTCTCATGAAAATAATCAACTAATCAAAATTAGCATTTTCAATCATTACAATTTTTGATCAATCCTATGTGTCTCATGTTTAAAATGACTGACCAGTTGAAAGTAATCAATTAAAGAGCCCCAGGATTAATTTATTATCAAATTTCTGTAACTGCCTAGCTCTGAACATTATACTTCCAAGTGATAATAGTTTCTTGGACATGTACAAAGCTAAGTCTTTGAATGAGCAAAAAAATTCTAAGAAAAAAAAAAGATGTATTGTTCACATACAAGACCCCCTTAGAGCTGCAGTAGTTTACTGCCATCACTGGTTTAATGAACTTATAACATTGTAAAAAGCCACCTTCAGAAGCATCATTGTATATGCACGTGCTATGAAAAACCTTCCCCATTTTTTGACTACAGTAGAAAAAACATTAGATTAAAATGACTTTAGTGTCTTTAATCCAGCAGCAAGAATCCAGGATGGAGCTATTTCTCATAACACTAGTACATGTACATAGCTTCCAAGACTAAATTCTTCTCACACTCAAACTAAAAGAGTTGCATAATTCCTGTATTTTATTTACTGGAAACAAGTTAGAAAAAGTTATCTTAAATTTACATAGCTATCATAGGTGAAGCAGCAAATTTTCTTTTAACCATAGGTGCATGTGTGGGGGGTCAAAGTGCACTTGCCATGACATTTTTACATAGTGCCATTCAACTTGATATTATGTATTCAATATCAGAGTTATAAGCTGTTCATTTTATCTTACATTGCTGATTTAGCAACACTTCATGGTAGAGGAGAGTGTAAACCACATACAATATACAGGTATACTGAAAAAAAAAAAGACAAACTGTAGATATGGATTTTGGAGGTTCTAGAGGTTATTCAAGTGCAATATCCAAACTGTGCAATGGATAAAAGTATTTTCATTCTTCACATGAACTTCACCTTGCACTCCGACTTCTCAGAGCCTGGATCCAACTGATGTCTTCAATTCATAGACATATCTTGAATACCAATACTTTTGTAACGCTTATAAACTTTTTATGTACAGCAGACATGTACATTTTGCTAAAAGCTTGCCACATTTTGTGTAGATACACATAGTAAATTGAAATTATAGCCAACACCCCTTCTCCAATAAGTTCTCAACAAGTACTGATGTCTAAGAAACTGAATAGAGTTGTTTAAACATTTGTTTAACAACAACAAGTAAAAGCTTGGAATGGTCTATTTGGATAGACCATTCCAAACTTTTACTTGTTGTTAAACAAATGTTTAAACAACTCTA